AAAAAAAAAACCTTTCAGGTAAAAAGAGTACAGGTATAGGAAGTACCTAGAAATACTGAGGATAACTGGAATGTACATGCATTGTGTTAAATCTACCAGATTTGCAAAGTGGATGACTTCACCTAGAGACAGTCAAGGTCTTCTCTTTTTTCAGGTACAGCTTCTCCCCAAGAGCCCCAGAACAAAGTGACCTCAATAACTACAGCACACAGAACCTGAAGAAGTATCTAATATGAATAGGATTTTATTTATTTTTGTATTTAAAAACTCTTTCTTTCATGGATGTACATTAGTAGGGCAAGTTAGTACAGTTAATCACATAAACAACTGTCCTCACATAAAAGGTAGTTGCTACTTAAAATGAAAATCCCAGCGGTAGTAATAAATTTAATTATATATAGTTCTGCATGTCAAACAACTTACGTGGAAGATAGCATGTCCTAAAAAATAGTTTCTGAGGCGGCGCCTGTGGCTCAAAGGAGTAGGGCGCTGGCCCCATATGCCGGCTGGGTTCAAACCCAGCCCCAGCCAAAAACCTGGGGGAAAAAAAATAGTTTTTGGTAACTGAAAAAATAAACCTAAAAGGACATTGATCTCCAAAGATGCGTTTTAAGAGTTGAATGAAATGTGAAAAAGTAAAAGATACTAAGATATTGAGTATATTAAATAAATATAAACTTAGTTACTAAAGTGAATAATAAAAGTGGAGGAGGGCGGCACCTGTGGCTCAAGGAGTAGAGCACTGGCCCCGTATACCAGAGGTGGTGGGTTCAAACCCAACCCTGGGCAAAAAATGCAAAAAAAAAAAAAAAATATATATATATATATATATAAAATTAAAAAAAATAAAAGGGGAAGAATTCCTCTTCCCACACTCGTATATTCTTGTAGTCGTCAGAGTCCCAGGCAGAGCCAATGGAGCCATCTGTTTCCACTTCACCTTTGCTTCATTGAAGCTCTTATTCCTAATCAGTGGTTGACAAGTTTGATATATTTGGCTTATTTTAGGACTCTGATTCTTCCTCTCCTGCTGCTTCCTCTTCTTCACCTGCCTCTTCTGCTTCTTTCTCTTCTTCCTCTCCTGCTTCTTCCTCTCCTGCTGCTTCCTCTCCTGCTTCTTCCTCTCCTGCTGCTTCCTCTCCTGCTGCTTCCTCAGCCTTTTCTGGTATCGGTTCAGCCTCCCGTTTTTTTCCACAAAACCACAAAAGGCAAATGATAAAACATATCAATAATATTATAGAACCAATAATAATGAGAAGTGTAACTACATCTGAAGAAAGTGTATTATTTTTACTATTTTCATTTTCCACTGGGGTCGCTAAGCCAGGAGGGCCACTGTCCACACTGCCCCCATCTCCTGGAGCCTTGCAGTTGGGGGGGGCACTCCCTATTTCACAGTGGCAGTGTGATAAATCATTACAGACTCCTTTCCCATTACATGTTTTCTCTGGATTACAGGCAGTTGTGCTCGGGGCGTAATCTCTGCAGACAGAATCTATGCAGACTTTGTTTGGGGCACAGGAAGTGTAACTCCTCACTTGGCCCTCATCAGGCATGTCGGAAGTGGTAAAATAATCCACACTCCAACACCAGTCATCTTCATGAGAGACCTGGACCATTGTATAATTGAGTTTGATTGTTGGTAAAGATGTAACACCTGAACATATAATTTTCCCACAAAATATATCTTCATCTCTACACTTACTATATTTAATAGGATTATTACCACCAAAGCCACAGTTTCCAAACCGGTCCCCTTTATTGTTCATTAAATTGTAACAGCTTTGTGATGCAGATTTTGCACCCAACCCAAATACTTCTATGCACTGAATATTAGGATCCATGCAATAACCTTTAAGACAGAAGTACATTTGATTACAAATTGAGCCATCTTGCATAATCCTGTCTTCAGGGCATGAGGAAGATGCACCATCACAATATTCTGGGAGGTCACAGGGCCGCTCAGCAACACGGCAAGGCTGTCCCCTAGTTTTAAATTTACACAAAGAACAGCAGAGTCCTTCATCACACTGTGCTTCTTCCTTTAGTTTACAGTGTTCATCACAGCATTCATTTTCTGCACAAGCATCACCACAATCACACTGCTCAGCTTCTTCCACCAATTTGTTTCCACAAGTGGATTCTCTACGCTTGCGGCCTTTGTGCCACGGTTTGTTAAACAGGCAGGTCCCTTTCTGTTCATGAAGGAAGTGGTAGAAGTAATCAGAGCTGCAGTTGCTGAAGCCACCATGTTTAGTGATACTTTCACTCATGAGACAAAAGTGCTTATCTTTACAAATGCAGGCCGAATGGTCATGCTGAATGCCCAGGTTGTGCCCGAGCTCATGGACCATGAGCGCTGCAAACAGGAGGACATCTTCATGGTGGAAGGATTCAACGGCAGCGGCAAACCCCCTCGAACAGGCACCACTGGGAAACGCCTGACCCATACTCCCTTTGGGATGATGCCCAACGATCATGTGGGCGACATCATGCTTCACACGATGGACGAGCTTCTCTCTTCTCCAGCTATTGAAATTCCTGAGCGTAACCTCCAAGTCCTCTGGGACTTCTACTAGATCCTCCTCGGTCCAGATCTCCATTCCAGCCAGCACCACCTCTGTGTTTATTCCCCTAGTGAAGATGTTGGCCAGAGCAACGATGTCCACTACTCTCTGGACTGTCTCATTGATGTCACCGCCCCACATCTGGAACCGCTGGTTGTTGACAACAACAAACATCTCCACATACTTGGTGTGTGACCACAAGTAGGACAGCGCCTGTAGATTCTGAGGCTTCCTGCTCCCTTGTTGCCAGCTAGTAGACACCACTTGGCTGTCTTTGGAAGTCACACTACAGGAGACATGCACTTGATGCGCCATGGTGTACAGTACGTGTTCAAATTGCTTTGAAGATTCCACAGGCTCAATGCCGTAAGATTTTTCCTCCTTAATCAGGATACCCCTGAGCCCTGAACAGGTATTGACAGAAACAAAAGAACCTGGCACTCCTTCGATGTAGCCTTCATAGTGACAGTCGTGTGAAATGAAAGGCACTTCTTGCCCCGGGATGCCGTTGTGGTAACTGTAGACTGGAAAACTGTTCATGAAATAATCTCTCTTCACCTTCAGGTGAACCAGGTGTTTCTGGCCTTGCATAACTAGCATATAGGATGCCTTTCCCATGGGGTCTTCACTTCCTCTGCCTGTCAGACTCTTTGGGATGACTATTTCGTAGGAAGAGTAATATACTGATTCCATGTCACAGTACATGCTTGGGAGAAAAATCATTACCAAGAGCAACATGTTCCCCAGCCCGGGATGTGGAAGTCCTGGCACTAGCCCCAGCTCCAAACCTTTCATTTTGAGAGCCCAAGTCCAGAGCCCTCTCCTAGCCTCATAGAAAACCACAAGGAGTTTCTGTCCAGCAGACAGGAGGGAGGTAGAGTCTCTCACTGAGGCTGTTGCTGACATGGTCTTAGTGAATCAGTTGATAGTGCAGGCCTATGTCCATCAGCAGTAGCCGCTCTTCCTGACACACGGACCCTCAGACACAGGAACTAACCCCAGACCTATGCTGGCTGCGTGAACAGTGTCCACTGCCTACCTCCTAAAGTGACAGCCTTATGTCTGAGCCTCTTCCTAGTCTTTCTGGTGACTCTGTTGTCCTTCCAATAGTTTCCTTTCTCTGAGATGACTTTCCAAGCATCAGATTTATTCCGGCACTTATAACTTCCTTTTTACGTAACAGAAGGATATATTGTAAAGAAGAGAGGTGAACTCTTACAATGTAGGACTATACTATGGGAAAGGAAATTTTCATCTCTATGCCTGCCTTCTATGCCTTCTTCAACTTCCTCAACTGGACCTCAGGGAACACCCCTCCCCCACCCCTCCTGTTGTCTGTTGCTCAGCTAACTCCAAATGTTCCAGAGTAGAGGGTGGGAGTTAGATGGGGGGATGCTTGGTGATCATGTCCTCTCCTCTAAAACTCTTGCTCTGAGCCATGAACATCTTAACCCAGGGTGATCTTTTCAGATCCATGAGGCATTCTCTGTGTGCGTGTGTATGTTGTGTGTATCTCAGCAGCTAGTCTGTTAGATAATGCAAGTGGCTACTTTGCACCCCAGCATAGACCCAGATGGGCTGATGCTCCATAGGCCAAGAGATAGTAATCCTTTTTTTAAAAATTTTTTGTAATCCTATTTTTTTTTTTTTTTTTGAGACAGAGCCTCAAGCTGTTGCCCTGGGTAGAGTGCTGTACATCACAGCTGGCAGCAACCTCCACCTCCTGGGCTTAAGTGATTCTCTTGCCTCAGCCTCCGAAGTAGCTAGGACTACAGGCGCCTGCCACAACGCCTGGCTACTTTTTGGTTATAGTTGTCGTTGTTTGGCAGGCCCAGGCTGGATTCGAACCTGCCAGCTCTGGTGTATATGACTGGTGCCTTCGCTGCTTGAGCAACAGGTGCCGAGCCTAGTAATCCTATTTTTGAATGTCATCAAAATTCAGTTTCTGGAGCCGGGCGCAGTGGCTCATGTCTGTATTCTAGCACTCTGGGCAGGTGAAGCGAGTGTGTTGCCTAAGCTCACAGGTTCGAGACCATCCTAAGCCAGAGCAAGACCCTGTCTCTAAAAATAGCTCAGCACTGTGGCAGGTGCCTGTAGTCCCAGCTACTTGGGAGGCTGAAGCAAGAGAATGGTTTAAGCCCAAGAGTTGGAGGTTGCTGTGAACTATGACACTACGGCACTCTACCAAGGGCAACAAAGTGAGACTCTGTCTCAAAAAAAAAAATTCAGGGGCAGTGCCTGTGGCTCAGAGGAGTAGAGCACCGGCCCCATATGCCGGAGGTGGTGGGTTCAATCCCAGCCCCGGCCAAAAACTGCAAAAAAAAAAAAAAAAAAATTAGTTTCTAAATTCTGATTATAACACTATCGAAAAGTGTATATGGGAGATACTATTAATGAACCCACAGGGGGAGTTCACTGTTGCTTGCTGCACAGAAAGCTAATTACTGAGACAGCAAAGGTTATCAAGGAGGAAAGGATTTATTTTAGAGGATGTGTCAACTGGGAGGGGGAGGCACAGGCTACCTAAAATCCATCTTCCAGATTAGCAGCATTAAGGGGTTTTTATGGAGGTAAAAATGAATAATCCATAAAGGGAGCTAACCCCATTATGTAGTTGGGGCAGAGTGCAGGGCACTCAAGCTCAGTAAGGAATCATGCTAGTTCATACAACCCAGGAACAAAAAATGGCTCAGAGGCTCTTGGTCACAATCTGTGGTGGCATAACACTTATCTTGGCTTTGTCTGCACATTCTGGTTGAGTAAGTCATTAATTATACTTATTTCAGGGCTGTAAGGAGGTTCTGTTGTTTCCAGGGAAAAAGTCAAAGAAATTGTATCAGTGTATAGAAAATTACAAAGTTCTGTTCAACAATTTATACTGAGACCTCTCTGACTCTACTTTTTCTTTTCTTTTTTTTTAGAGACAGAGTCTCACTTTGTTGCCGTTGGTAGAGTGCTGTGGTGTCACAGCTCATAGCAATCTCCAACTCCTGGGCTTAGGCAATTCTCTTGCCTCAGCCTCCCAAGTGGCTGGGACCACAGGCTCCTGCCACAGCACCTGGCTATTTTTTGGTTGCAGCCGTCGTTGTTTGGCAGGTCAGGGCTGGATTCAAACCTGCCAGTTCAGGTGTATGTGGCTGGTGCGTTAGCCAATGAGCCACAGGCACCGAGCCTTTTTTTTTTTTTTTTTTTTTTGAGACAGAGCCTCAAGCTGTTCCCCTGGGTAGAGTGCAGTGACATCACAGCTCACAGCAACCTCCAACTCCTAGGCTCAAGCGAGTCTCCTGCTTCAGCTTCTCAAGTACCTGGGACCACAGGCACCCGCCACAACACCTGGCTATATTTTGGTTGCAGCCTTTATTGTTGTTTGGCGGGCCCAGGCTGGATTCGAACCTGCCACCTTAGGTGTATGTGGCTGGTGCCATAGCCGCTTGAGCCACAGGCGCCGAGCCAGATCAACTTCTTTATACGCTATACTATTACTCTAGTAAAACCATTCCTTTCAGCCCATGTCACTCTTGTTTAACCATCCAAATTTTGCCTCTATTTTATGATTCATGTCTTTGATAAAAAGTATATATTTGCTTTCTCCATTCTTCCTTATTTATTGTCTGTGTCTAACATCTTTTATTGTGAAATATAGCACATTTTGCTGGAAAGAACATTTTATGAATAGATGTAGATTTCAGGGTAATTATAAAGTAGAAAAGATGTCGTTGTGTTGTGCCCAGGAGTTCCGCAAAGACCACACTGTCAAACAAGCTGAATTCACAGCAGAGTCCCTTTATTGAAGAGCCAGCCAGCGACTGCCTCAGTGTCCCAACATGGGGTTTCTAAGAGCAGCCCCCAAGGGCTTAAGGGGTCAGGTTTTTTGTTTTGTTTTGTTTTTGCTTTGCAGTTTTTGGCCGGGGCGGGTTTGAACCCACCACCTCCAGCATATGGGGCCAGCGCCCTACTCCTTTGAGCCAGAGGTACGGCCCACGGGGTCAGGTTTTTAAGGCTTGATCTGCATCCTGGTTGGCATGCAGGCTATCCAGGTGCATTTAGGTGAGGTAGCAAGCAAGCATTGTATAGAAGCAAAACTTTGTGGTTAGTTAGCCATATGTCATGTATCTTTCTTTTAATATTTTCCCCCTATACATCTTAGTTTCAGTACTTTCCCTCCATACATCTTAGTTTCAGTTATTTCTCCACCTGGTATTATCTAAAGGTCAGTCTGGGGACAGTTGGTACTTCCTGGTCTGTTTCCCAGGGAGTTAGCCAAGTAAGAAACTGGGAATGAACTAGAAGCAAGAAATCAATTAGTACTTTCTCATTTATCTTGGGAATGAACTAGACTTATTTCATTTTATTTAAAAGCTTGCAGTCTGGTAATTTGCTAGAAGTTAACTGTTATTTTTCCATTATAGCCTAACACCTTTCTGTCTTAGCCTAGGCCCGTTAGGCCTATCAATGTATAACCATAATTTTGATCAAGTAATTAACACTTTGAGCTCTACAAAAGTAACCTATATGCCTCTTTGTAATTACAAATCCCTCCTCCTACAGAGATAAACATGATTTTTCTTCTATGGTAACAGGTTACTCACATTTCTTTCTTTCTTTTTTTTTTCTACTTCATCTGGATACCCCTAATATTAAAATTAGAAAAAAAAATTATTATAAAGGAAAATTACAAACACGTTTTACTTATAAATGAGGCTGCAATATCTTAAACAACATATTAACAAGTTGAATTAAAATTTAATGTTTAAGTAATGCACTTTGGTCAAAAAATCCAATTTATGTGCAAATTAGTCACTATTTTGCAGCATTTGTATTAACCTGGATGGAGGTGGAACACATTATTCTTAGTGAAGCATCACAGGAATGGAGAAGTATGAATCCTATGTATTCAACTTTGATATGAGGACAATTAATGACTATTAATGACACGGTGGGGCATGAGGGAAGGGGAGAGCAGACAGAGAAGGAAGGAGGGGGTAAGGGAAAGGAAAAAAGAAAGAAAAGAAAAGAAAATAGTGACTAATTCTCACATTTCTTTTTAGTTTTATTTAGTTGCATTTCTTTTTTCTTTCTTTCTTTTTTTTTTTTTTGAGACAGAGCCTCAAGCTGTCACCCTGGGTAGAGTGCTATGGCATCCCAGCTCACAGCAACCTCCAACTCCTGGGCTCAAGTGATTCTCCTGCCTCAGCCTCCCAAGTAGCTGGGACTGCAGGCGCATGCTACAACGCCTGGCTATTTTTTGGTTGCAGCCATCATTGTTTAGCAGGCCCGGGCTGGATTCGAACCCACCACCTCAGGTGTATGTGGCTGGC